GTTACCTATTTAACAAAACAAATTTAGAGTTGGCAAAATATGTTAGGTGTGTCAAGTCATTCTGACTTATAGAAAACACCAGAACAAAACACTGCCGATCCTGCACCATCCACACAATTGTTATGATTGAGCCCATGGCTGAGGCCACTGTGTCAATCCAGCTCCTTGTAGGGACCCTCCACTTTACCAAGTCTGATGTACTTCTCCAGGAATTGGTCCCTCTTGACAACATGTCTGATGAGAGACAGAGTCTCACCATCCTTCCAACATAGATTTGTTTTCTCTTCTGGCAGTCCATGGTATTTTTAATATTTTTCTCCAACACCATAATTCAAATGCATCAATTCTTCTGTGGTCTTCCTTATTCGTTATCCAACTTTCACATGCACATGAGGCTATTGAAAATACAATGTCTTGGGTCAGGCACACTTTAGTCCTCGAGCAAAGTATTCTTTGCTCTTGAATACTTTAAAAGGTCTTTTGCAACACGTTTGCCTAATGCAGTACGTTGTTTGATTTCTTGATTCCTATTTCCATGAGTGTTGATTGTGGACCCAAGCAAAATGAAGTCTTTGACAATTTTAATCTTTTCTCCATGTATCATAATGTTATTTATTGGTCCAGTGGTAAGGATTTTGTTTACATTACACTGAGATGCAGTCCGTATCAGTTTGTAGTCTTTGATCTATTTCAGTAAGTATTTGAAATCCTCTTCATATTCAGCAAGTAAGGTTGTATATTCTGCATATCCCAGGTTGTTGACAAGTCTTCCTCCAATCCTGATGTCACATCCTTCTTCATATAATCCAGCTTCTCAGATCATTTGCTCAGTATACACATTGAATAAGTACGATGAAAGGATACAACCCTGGCACACACCTTTCCTGATTTTAATTCATTCAGTGTCTTATTCTATTTGAATGACTGCCTCTTGGTCTGTGCAACAGGTTCCTCATGAGCACAATTAAGTGTTCTAGAAAACCTGTTCTTCAAAATGTTATCCATAGCTTGTCATGATACACACAGTCAAAAGCCTTTGCATAGTCAATGAATCACAAGTAAACATCTTTCTGATTTTCCCTGCTTTCAGCCAAGATCATCTGACAGCAGCAAAGGTATCCCTCGTTCCATGTCCATGAATCTGGCTTGAACCTCTGGCAGTTTCCTGTAAATGTACCATTGCATTCATTTTTTAATTATTGTCAACTAAATTTTATTTACATGTGATATTAATAATATTCAATAATTTCTGCATTCTGTTAGAAACTAAAAATATTTTGTTATTTAACAACACCAGTTTAGAATTGGCAAACAAATAGTGGAATACAAAATCCCACCAAAAGTACTATTTATAGCATCTGCATACTTTCTGGAGGAATGCTGTTGTTGTTAAGTGTCATAGAGTCAGTTCCAACTCATAGCAATCCTGTGAAGGGTTTCCAAGAAGTAGCTGGTGAGTTTGAATCACTAACATTGCAGTTAGCAGTCCAGTGCTTATCCATTCCTAAAATTGAAGTTGTTAAATTAAAAGTTGCATGCATTTGCAATTTTGAAAGGTTTTGTGAAATTACTCTCTGTTAGAAGTGTGTCAATTTATATATCAACCAACAATGTGTGGGAGTTCTTGCTTCTCTACAGCCTCACTAATAGAATATTTATTACCAACAAAATATGTTTAACTTGTATGCTCGTTTCCTATTGCTACTCTAACAAATTACCACAAATTTATCAGCTTAAAGCAACACGAATTTGTTGTTGTTGTTGTCAGGTGCCAACTCATAGCGACCCCATGCACAGCAGAACGAAATAATGCTCGATCCTGGGCCAACCTCACC